GAGCTGACAAACAGCTGATCAGCTGTTTGTCGGCTCAGCGCGGCAGCCATGTAAATTTAAATGAAGCGGCGATTATTTAAATCGCCGCTTCATTTTCTATGTCTGGTAGCCTAATCTACATGCCTCTGGCGACAGAGGCATGTAGTCTAGACGTACCCTTAGGCGGTTTACATGCAGTTTAGATTCCTCCTGAGACCAGTGCCCCAGGATAATGTGACCACCAATGTGGGCTTCTTATCTCATTAGAGAAGTGTCCGCAGAAACGTGGGGTGAAAAGGCATGCTACTGTAGGAATTGTCCTGGATCATCCACCAGGAAAGGGGCTCCTTCGTCTTGGAGAACATAGTAAGGCGCTTATTGATATGGTGATAGCGTGATCTGTATACAGTTCATAGTCAAGTCTGTAGGGCCTCACTTGTAGGTAAGCACATTGGATGATGAAGATTGCCCCCACCATATGAAGATTGCCCCCACCATATGGCTTAGCTGTTGGAGACAGTTTCGCCGTAACCTGGAGACTACTCTGTGCTCACGAGAAAAGATCTACAAGTATTAGAAATCTCTAATATGGAAGTGCTGCTGTAGCTGAGGTTCAATGTAGGTGGGTACCCATGAACTCCAACTGCTGTTTGGAGATTAATGTGCACTTTTGAAAGTTCAGTTATAGATCCAATTTGCTGAATAGGGCCCTGTTGATGGATACTGCTCATTCTGTCTTGTGATAGGATGACCCTTTTTGAAGGCAATCATCCAGATATGGGAAGATGACAATTTCCAGTCTGCAGAGGTGTGCTGCAATCACCTCTAGGACTTTGGAAAAGACTCAAGGGGCTGAAGGGAAGTACTCTGTACAGGAAGTGCCCATTGTGAACAGCAAATCAGAGGTACTGTCTGTGCACAGGGTGTATTGCAATGTGAAAATATGCATCCTGTAGATGAGATTGAGGGTAGACAGCTAGTCTCCCTTCTCCAAAGCAAAGCTTACTGTGGCAAGAGTTACCATCTTGAAGTGCAGATGAATCAGTTGAGGTTGCATAAATCAAGAATGTGTCTCCAATGTCCTGATTTCTTGATTGTAAGAAAATAGTGGAAGTAAAACTCCTTCCTCCTGTACTGTTGAGGTACATGTTCTATTGCTCCTAGTTGGAAGGGGTGATTCAATTCTTGCATGAGAGTGACCTCGTGAGAGGAGTCCCTGAAGGAGGACTGGTAGGGTGATGGGGAGAAATGTAATAAATCAGTTTGCACTATCTCTAGCACCCATCTGTCTGTGATGGTATTCCATGCTGGATAAAAGGATTCTAGTGGGTTCCCAAATGATGTGGGAGTGATTGGATGACATCTTGGAGATTTTGGGGCTGTCTGAACCTTAACCAGTTAGTTGGTTTGTGTATCTGATTAAAAAAATCTCTCATTTTCTCTTAGTTATAGGAATATGTGTACCAAGAGTCTTGAATGTAAACTGGGAATCCTTTACTTGTGAAGGGAGGCATCAGTGGATTCAGAGAAGAGCTTGGATGTTTCAATGGGCACATCTTCTATGGAAGCCTGTACTTCTCTGGGGAAACCAGACAGAAATGACCAGGATGCTTGTTGTATGACTATGGCGGTGGAGATGAAGCATGCTGCTGTATCTGTGGAGTCTAGCACAGCTTGGAGCACAGTGCAGGAAATAAGTGCACTCATTAATATTGGCCTTGAAATGTTTTTGTTTATTGTCTGGCGAGTGCTCAGTTAAAGGACACCATATGATCAAATACATTGTGTGTGTATTTGGCAAGAAGAGCAGCATAATTTTCTCAAGCAGTGTGTGGTTTGGCCAGTGCTGGAGCCAAAGAGGACTTGTTCAGTGCCAATGGAGCCACTTTAGTTTTAATTTGCACAGTGCCTTAGAGCTGACCCAAGATGGTTTCTTCACTCCTTAGGCCATCCCAGTGTCAAATGTGCCTGGTGCTTCATGATCCAGTAACTCGGGTGCTGCTGGTGCCAATTTTTTTGTGAAAGAGCACTTCTTTGTAGGGGAATCACCCTTGGATAATGAGTGGAAGCACTTCTTAGGAGACTGTGCTGAAGCAGAGTCCTTTGAGCTCGACCCTGAGGGAACTGCTGTCTCGGAAACCAGCATAGGAGAGGACAGTCTTGGCAGCGTGGCATGCTCTGGGTCCGAGGCTGAACAAAGAGACTTCTCTAGGAGCAGCATCTTAAGTTGAAGCTCCCTGGCCCTCCTGGTTCTGGTAGTGAGCTTTTTACCGTGAAGACACTGAGTGGTGGAGCATGCCTCACCTAAACAATGGACACACTGCAAGTGTCTGTCCAAAATAGGTATCGACAGTCTGTAGGTCAAACACCTTTTAAAACCTCAGGAACCAGGCATGTCCTATTTACAGATCACTGCTAACGCGAGAACAACAAAACACCAGACTTTTTTTTAATGACAAAAAATAGTGCAAGTAACTAGACTATGAATTAACAACAGGTAACTATCTAATTTCCACAACTAAAAATCTAACGGATCTTTGAGGACAACTGTTGGGTTCCTACCAAAGCCAACAGTAGCAGAGAAAGAACCAAAGGGTCGGTTGGCTACGCATGCAGAGTAACCACTCCTAACGGCATGTGCTGGCTACTCGGTGTGCGCAGCCTACCAAGGGCACTGCCAACTAAATTCTTCATCTAGAACCACAGCAGCACTCAAATAGCTAGGAGGAACCCCCACAAGGACACTCTTTTTTCTGAATTTTTACTGTAAATTAAGTAAATTCACTTAAATGTTTAGTCAATAAAGGGATATAGTCAACTGAAAATGCAATGGTAAATATCTTAAATCTTGAAACAGGAGTTCTATTTGTGACATATTTCTACTACGAAACAAACAAACAGCGAATGCTCAATTAGAATAATACTCAACTTCATAAATCTATTTCATTGACTTGAAACTAGTCTTAAAGATTTCTGGTCTCAGTCACAGTAAAAAAAAAAAAAAAAAGGTAATTTCATGCTATCATTATAGAATCACAGAAATGCAGAGTTGGAAGGGACCTTGAGAACCCATCAAGGTCAGTCTTCTGTGCTTTGGCAGGACCAAGTAAACCTAGACCAGTGTTTCTAAAAGTGGACCATGGCCCCATTCTGAGAGAGCTTCTAATGGGCTGCTCCAGTTTGTTTACTTAATGACTCTGCAACCCAAGAGCCTCACAGCTCCTATTGACTGTGTTTCATCATTTGCAGCCAAGGGAGCCGTGGGAAGCAGCTTTCTAAAAGTGGGATTAGGGATGTAAGTGACTAGTCGACTGTCCAATAAGCATAAGCCGATCAGATAGTCAACTAGTGATGCAACTAGTCACTTCCCCCCGGAGGGAACAGGAGTTTGTGCTGGGGGGGAGCCAGCTTAAAAGACTTACATGAACACTCTAATTCACTACTATTTTTTCCCTTCCTTCCACCCCCTTATTTATTTTGGAACTGGACTTTTAATATTCCATTCATCTGAAGAAGTGGGTTGTAGCCACAAAAGCTCATGATACCATCTACATGTTTTGTTAGTCTTTAAGCCACCACTAGACTATTCGTTGGTTAAGTTTTTCTAGTTGAAGACTAACTCGGCTACCCCCTGAAGCTTTGGTACATTAACAGTTCATTAGTTCACTTTGATCTGATCCTCTTTGAAACAAGATTAGATCAATGCAAACAAACTGTTAATCAGTGCTCAAATTATATGGGAGTAAGGGGCTGCCCTTCCACTCTGACTGCACGCTGCCCCCCCCCCCAACCACACAGACCCCTCTTTCCAGTGCAGAACTCCTAGAAGAGGCAGGCCTGGATCTCTGCTTCTTTCATCCTCCAGGTTCCCTGCAGTGACAACTCTCTTAACAGGTGATGCTTACCGGTTACAGTTAACTGTGGAAGCTTCCTTCCCTCATTCTTCCCCCTTTAGTTGGTTAACCAGTTAAACATTAATTTAACCAGTTAACCAATTAAATGGTATTTTACATCCCTAATAAGCAGGGCTCGCCAGCTGCACGGTTCTGTGAGCTGCACATGCACAGATCGTGTGGCGCCGGCTGTGCTGGCTTGTAATCTACTCACTACGGGCGAGTAGATTACATGATTTCTCGAGCCCTGCTAATAAGGGGTGATGAGTAGGAGAAGTCAGCTGATCAAAACAAATTAATGAACTGTTCCTGTCATACTGAACCAACAGTTTGCTTTGCTCTAGTTCCCTTGCAAAGAGGACTAAATCAAAGCAAACTAACAAAATGGGTCAAATAAATGTAAATAAATGTTACAATGATGACCACAGTAACAGATTCATATTTCTAATAGGGAAAAATGTGGGGAATGAGTACATTACTGATCACAAAGTGCAAATTGTGTGTCACATGCTGTATATATATTTTAAAATAACAAGATTGATACTGAAACAAAGTCAAAATATAGAAACATCATTATCTGATGATTAGGAATAATCATTGACCCAAAATAAAAACATTTCAAAGATATGACTTAGAAGAAGCTGTTCTATTTTATCAGAGAACTAAAGATACCAAGGGACATTTTAAAGAGGTATTTGACCAGCATGAAGCACAGCTAAGATAACACAACTGTTGGAAAATGATTTTTTTTTTTACATTTCATGATTAAATCCGAACTCTACTAATAAAACATGAAGCGTTTAAATAATACTATTATTCTTATCATTGCAGTTCCTGAGCCCTCCATTGAAGAAATGGGATCTTTGTCTTGGGCACCGCATAAAGAACAAAAAAGTTGTGCCTACCACAGACTGCTAACAACCAATTGTGTTTTCATTTTCTTTAAGTCTAATTATAGTATCACAATTACCTTCATGTTCATTTAGTATAAATTCTATTGGATTACTAACACCCAATCCCGAACACCGAGGTAGCAGCAGAATAACTTTAGCCTTTTGAATTCTCTGATCTGCTGGTCCAATCTCAGTAAAATCCTCATGTAACAGCTCAATATCTGAGAAACAAGGAAATAATATAAATTTAATATGAAAATAATTCAGTAAAATTTTAATCTAATGAAACAGAAATCCAATTGGCATTATGTTAACTTCACTTAAAAAGTTCAGTGTCTACCATTAATATGAATACTTATAATTAAAAGTTACGTATTAGGTATTAGATTTTTCATATTGTATTATCTGTACAAGGACCTGGATGGGCCCCCTGGAGGAAAAAGTAATTTAATTTAAGGCCAGAATGAACCACCAGCTCATCCAGTCTGAGTGCTTTCCTACTATGGGCCACAAATACCACCTAGCACCTAGGGATGTTAGTGTGTTGCTGTTTATAGTCATTTACACAATTAACTGATAAGCTTCGACTTATTGGTTAATCCTAACAACTATATGCACCGACTAAAAAGAGAGTAGAGACAGGCAGGCAGGAGCGGCCCGAGACCAGGTGCCCCAGGCGGGACGCGCTATTGGCGCCCCCGCCTGCAGGGCCATCAATGGACTGATGTCATCATTGGGCGCCCTAGGCGGTGGCCGAGTCCGCCTATAGTCACTGGCCACCCCTGCAGACAGAAGAGAGAGATTTATATTTGTAGAAACAGAACTAGCAGAATCTTGTTATGGGGATAAGGCAATATGCCATGTTTATTGTGAAACCAGTATTCACTTACTATCCCTAGCTACTATCCCTGCCCACCACACATACACACAGTTCTACAGATGGGATACAATTACCAGCCTCAATTGCTCATGCTATTCCACTGGCTGGGCGGTCTAGGCACGAGGGAGAAACTGAGTGTGTCAGTGTGCATTGATGCTCCTGGAGGATGACTGTAGAACTGAAAGACCCAATTCTATAGTATTTCACTCATCTTTTTATATGTTTTAGTCCATGAAGACTATCCTATCTCACTGCCCCAGGATGCTGTATTACCATGAGTCATCAGTTAATGGCAGAAGGGACTCTTTCTTGAGTAGGTTCTTTTGCAAAGCTCGCTCATGTTATTTTTCAGCCATCATGGTGGTGTTGGCAACTAGTTTCCAGACAGGCTGGGTTCAGGAACTGATTCCTTTATACACACACACACACACACACACACACACACACTAATACTTTTACACGGACACGCAACTAACTTTAAACAGAGTTAAGGCAGTACACATTTTAAAATGGGGTTTCAGTTACAGTATTTAAAAAAATTCCAAAAAAGTTATAACAACAGATTCCCAAAAAATTAATCCAAATCCTATTCATAAAGATTGGGCTGCAATTCATAAAGTTATCTACATAATGTCACATTGGTAGATATAATTTATTAAAATAGTGATTTAATGCTGCAGCCTTACAGAGAGAGGAGGAAAAAGATGGGAGCTGGAAGGAGGGACAGAGTTATAGATAGGGAATCAGGTAGGGGGAAAGAACAGAGCTGGAGACAGAATAAGAACAAAGGAGAGAGAAGAAGGCAAAAGAAAGATGGTTTTTAGAGTTGTAGATAAGATTGCACCTCTGAGCAGAGTAGATCAGGTACAGTTGAACTCAGAAGAAGCAGAAGATTGCAGAGACACTAGTTACAGGTGGTACATCATATTGCAACAAAGCCTTCTAGAGACTTGGGGTCAATGTTGCAGGACTCTTAAAGGAACATCCTATCTCTCTTCTCCCTCAAGAAGAATGCTGTGACATAAGGTTTTGAGGATACAAACTGGAGAATTTTCTGTACTAGTCTCTCTCATGTCATACAAAAGACCCACCACTTATTTGTCAAATAAAATACTTGTTAAATGGATAGAGTGAGATTTATTAGATTTGTTACTCATTTGCATTAACAGAATTTTTCATGGGATCATGACAAAACATAGGAACTTCTGACTTAACTCCTGAAAAAAAAAGATTACAAATATTTACCTAACCCTGCCCTGATGGTGCATGAGTAGAATACTTAAAGACATTTTAAATATCAGAAACATTTTTGCTTAAATAAAGATAAGCTTTAAAATGTGGTAAAACTACATGGGCTCTGGAAATAACTGTATTATTGAATTAATACTTAACACATACTTCCACATTCCATGCGTGTGAATAGCTCCTTCATTTCAAGTTCCTTTGCCTGTGATTTTACACCACATACAAAAACTTTGGATGTGCTCTGATTTGACAGTACAGACATATGAGCAGCAGTCATTCGTGAACCCATATGAGCAACTATGATGTCATCATCCATGTTCAATAAGGCCTTTACAGAATGTACAGCGAGGCTGCGAGATTTATCCTAAAAGATAATACATGCCAGTTAAATAATTAAATATAGATAATAATTGGTAGATTTAGTTAGTAAATTTTAGCTTCAAATTAATTTTTATTAATTTGTTTTCTCCAAGTACTGTGCTCTATTTCCAGCTAAACTAGTGAGTTCAATTCTTCTTTACCAACAAGTGGAGAAAAATAAAATCCTTATTATGAAGTCTGGATGGCTTATATTTAAATGCTAAAATACAAACCTCACAGATTCTAAGTTTTTAAAAGTATAGATTTTATACACACACAGAAAGTTAAACTGAGGTCAAAGAAGGCTAGGAGAAATGGATAGGTAATGTCTGTCATACCTGGCAAGTGGGGACTCAATAACCATTTCAAATGTCTAAAGGCAGCATGCTCAGAGGTTGCTACATGAAGTCTACAATGACAAAGAAAAATGAAAGGATGTTCACATGGCAGTCTCACACAGTTCTAGAGGGGAAATTCTCTCACTGTCTAATGGTTATGGAATAATCCTCGATTGAAGAGGAACATAAGCTCCTGCCAACAAAGATTTCTTTTACAGTTTTGAACTTAAAGACACTGCAAAGCCTCACAAGACCTCCAAAAAGAAAAGATTATCTCAAAAAAGATGGTTACTCACCTGATACAGTAACTGATGTTCTTTGAGATGATTGTCCCTGTGGGAGCACCACTGTAGTTGTTTCGGCACCCCTGTACTTATAGTTAAGTATTTTTAGAAGCAGTATCCCGGGTTCCGATGTGCACGCGCAGTGTCATCTTGCTGAGTAGGGAGCGTGCAGGCATGTGTGTTGTCAACCGTCCTTCCATCCCTTCTCCACCACAGAGAAATGTTAAGATTCCGAAGCAGAGGGGAGGAGGAAGGGTTGTGAAGCACCCATAAGGACAACCATCTTGAAGAACATCAGTTTCTGCACAAGGTGAGTATCTTTGCTTCTTCGAGGAACGTTCCTGCTGGTGCTTCACTGTAGGTGACTAAGGAGCAGTATCCCGAGTGTCTGGAAGGTGGGGCTTTGTGTGTTAAGTGTGGGCCACAGAGAGAATTGCTAGGCCAAATAGTGTGTCTTGAACAGCGTATTTGTCTAATGTATAACGTTTTGTAAATGTATGCACTGAAGCCCACGTGGCTGCTTTGCAAAAGTCTGTAATTGGAATGTTCTGTAGAAAAGCAGTGGATGTGGAAACTTCTGTGCTACAGTGAGTATATACAGTATATAATTGGTGGATGTTGTTCAACGAATAACATAGCTTGATGCATGTTTCAATACATTTAGAAAGTCTCTGATTGGAGATGGCTTGACCCTTAGCTCATCCCACCAATGAAAGGAAAAGTCTAGGAGATTGTCTAAACTGCTTCATTTGTTCCAGGTAAAATGCAAGTGCTCGGCAGAGGCATCCTCAGCAAGTTTGGAATAGAAGACAGATAAGTATAATGGTTCATTAATATGGAATGATGACCCCACCTTAGGAAGGAATTTAGGGTGGAGTCTGAGGAGTACTTTATCTAGCTATGTTAAATGGCAATCAGGACAGCAACTTTCATTAATAAGTGTAACAATGAACATGTAGCCATGGGTTCAAATAGTTTCTCTGTCAAGGTTCTGAGGACAAGAGTAAAGTCCCACCAAGGAGGTGGTTGTTTCAAAGAAGGGAAGGCATTGTTCAGTCCTTTTACACATTTTTTCATAGTTGGGTGAGCAAAAACTGTGTGGCCATCTATGGAAGAATGCTCACTGGAAATTGCAGACAGATGTATTCCAATGGAAGCATTCTCAAGTCCTTGATTTTTTTAGAGAAAGTAGGTAGTTCAGAATTTTGGGATGAGGTGCTGAAATAGGGGGCATGGAATATTCTGTAGCCCATAATTGAAAACATTACCATTTTTGTGAGTATGTATGTCTAATGCTTGGTTACTGGCTATTCATGATGACTTGTTCGACCTCTTCTGAATAGGTTAAATCTGATACCATTAACCATGCAAGGAGCCGCCCCATGAAGAACTGATACTTGGTGCCCATGGGTCCCATCCCTGCCATGTCAGAAGGAAGAGAATGGCTTTCATGTGTGCCTCTGGACCTATGGCTGTTGGAGCTAAGCTTTGGGTTTGGGAGACAAGTGCCAAGGAAAGAATGAAATCCTTGATGATCCTTTGTCATCATCATCTTCCTCACTTGAGAATGGAGGAGCAGAACTGGATGGAGTGGCTAATCTGCTCGGTCCTTGTAAAGTTGGCATGCCAAAGAGAAGTATGCCTGGTACCGAAGCTATTGGTAGGTCCTTATGCAATAAAAGAGAGAACATGATGCCATGAATGTCGGTACCAAGGTCGGTACAGGAGCCATCTCTGCCCAGCCATAGATAGTCCACATTGCTATCCGCAATGGATTCTGCATGTTCTGACAGTGTGGTGGTTTGTGTTACCATCGGTCCATGGCAATCTTTTTAGTGTTAGATGTTGAGGCTACCACATAGTGTGACTGTTTTGAAGTCATAGCCTCTCAAGACTTGTCCGTACTGGATATGCCTGGAGCCCGTCAGTTCAATGAGGACAGTGGCTTTGATGCTGACGCAGGCTTTTGTGTTGGAGATACCCTTTTCAGGGGGCGCTCAGTGCCTATCTAAGTAAGGTGCTTTCACTTGGTAGTCTTTTTGGAAAGAGGGTCCTGAGATAGCAAACAGGATCCCTGATCTGAGGCTATGGTTGGGGACCTCTGGGAGGATGGTGAATGGGACTCTGGCTCAGAAGCTGGTCTGACAGATTTTTCTATCACGAGGAGCTTTAATTGGAGGTCCCATGCCTTCAGAGATCTTGCAGCAACTTCTTACAGTCGTGGCATTTTTGTGGTGGTACATCCTTCCCCAGGCATCTGATGCATTAAGCATGGTTGTTGGAAATGGGGATGGAGAACCTGCACGTGAAGCATCTTCTGAAACTAGAAGAACCCAGCACATCGTTGATCTGATACAGATGTTAAATACAGAAATGAAAGAGAAAATTTTTTGAATAAGACGCAAGTAGGTAGATATTATCTTATCTGGATACATTAATGAAGAGCGCTGCTGGGTTCCACCATAATCCTGAAGCAGTAGAGAAGGAACTGAGGGATGGATGATGACATGCGTGCTTGCACACTTGCTATGCAGTGAGACAGCACTGTGCATGCATATCAGCACACAGGATACTGTTGCTAAAAATATCTAAGTGCAGGGATGCCAAAACACCCACTGTCTGAAAATCAGGCCTTCCAAGTGTGCTTTAAAAGTCGCTCATTGCTTTTGAAAGTCTTTATTATAGCTCTTCAGTTCTAAGGCCTTAGGGGCGGTGGAGAGCAAGGAAAGAGTCCTCTGCATTCATCTAGTCATGTGGAATTTTATAAAGTGCTTATTATTATTTCAAATGAAAAAGCTGATTTAGAGCAGGAACAGGATAGCAGCAAAGCTGCTGTATTGGGACCCACACATCAACTATGTACTATGGTAGGCATCTCAGGGTCAGCTTTGATAAGGATGGCGTGAAGTTGATGCTGAGGGCAAGCCAGGGGAAAAAACACTGGAGTTTCTGGCTTCAGTGCCTAGGAATCCCTAAGCATGCAGCATACAGGGGGAGTGGCCATTACTTCAATCTAGGGCTACAACTGCAGGAGAGATGTCAAAAATATTATTATGCTATTATTTATCCACTAGAGAAAATAATTTCAAAAGTGCCTACATGACATAGGATCTTAAATCTCATTTTCAAAGACAAAAGTCTAATATTTCATTTAGAAATGGGACAGATGCTTTTGAAAATTTAAAAAATGAGTAGTCCTGTGGCACCTTAGAGACTAACAAAAACATATATCGTATGAGCTTTCATGGGCAAAACCCACTTCCTCAGTTCACACAAGCTTATCTGAAAGTGGGTTGTATGTCTCTCTCTCTCTCTCTCTCTAAGGTGCCACAGGACTACTCATTTTTAAAGTTACATACTAACACGGCTACCCCTCTGAGACTTGAAAATTTTACTCAGTCTCTATTAAAAATAATTTTATAATAAAAATCTTAACTCAGATGTCACACTGATTTCTTTGGAGCTATCACCTTGAGTCATATTTGCAGCTGGGAATGTCAATGCTTCAATTGCTAGGCTTATCACTATAAAAAAATTATCTGCCATATCTAGTGTAACCCTTCTGCCAGGTAGAGTTAGAAGCAACAAGGGCCAGGTTCAATATCTAGAGTTTTCTCTTAACAATACAAAACAGAACTGGGTCTAGCCTGCATCCCATAATTTGGAAAATATAGAACCACTCCAGGAACCATTAAGAGAGACTATCTCCCCATTCACAAACACAGAGTCTGTGTATAATAAAAGAGAACTTTTAATTAAAACAACAACACGTTCAAAAGAATGTTGCTATAAGCAAAAACCTGACCCCCACTGTGCTGGGCAGTGTACTTTGCCTCAGTTTCTCACCTTGCAGTAGGAAAGCCTGACAAGTGAATGTCCCTTTAACATATCATTTCTTCTCCCTGTGCTGTACTTCACTCACAGTTGGCTGTCCTTAGTTAGTGTTGACCCAGTGCTCAGAAGTAAACACGTTCAAAAGAATGTTGCTATAAGCAAAAACCTGACCCCCACTGTGCTGGGCAGTGTACTTTGCCTCAGTTTCTCACCTTGCAGTAGGAAAGCCTGACAAGTGAATGTCCCTTTAACATATCATTTCTTCTCCCTGTGCTGTACTTCACTCACAGTTGGCTGTCCTTAGTTAGTGTTGACCCAGTGCTCAGAAGTATGTGCAGAAAGAAAGGGGGGAGCAATGTCTCTGTAGTCAGTTGGTGCTTCTGCAACTGTTTGTTACTACATCAATTGCTTGTCTCCGCAGTGCTAGTCACATGCTGTCACTGTAGGATACTCAATGCCACTTCTGTGATGCCAGATTCTGAGTTCCATCACTTAACCCAGGTCTTTAGTGATTTCACTGGGTAGCAGGGAACGTCACTGTCCCCACACCTGGTGATAGCCCATAGGCCTTCTCAGGGATTCAGCTCTAGTTCTGGTCACTGAACAGAAACAATAACTCTCAATTGAGACTAATTAGCTCTGTCTTTAAACACTGGAGGATGATGGTCAAGTGGTGCCCAGAGTCCTAGACAGCATTCATACCACCAAGTAAGACCACCTTTCCCCAACCCCATCTCTTTCACTGAGATTTGGCATTCCTACACCTGCTTTGCAAGTAAGGTTAATTTAGGGTGACTTCCTCAATCAGGGCAAGCTAATTACAGTTCTGCTGCCCTTTTTCTTACACAATTTAAGAACAACATTTAATTGCTCTTCCACTCATTGAAATGATCTGTAACCCAATATCAGCCAAAGTGATCATTTTGGCAAAGCAGTTCCATTATCCTGTGTACTTAAGCAGAGCAGACCTAGCTATGCAATCTGTTCCTGAAGGTTTTACCCCAGCTCAGCACCAGATGTCAGATGATAAAGGACCAAGAAGTTAAGGAATTCATCTGCAAACACCTGGAACGGTGATAGATAATAGCCAGCATGGATTTGTAAAGAACAAATCATGACAGACCAATCTGATAGCTTTCTTTAATGGGATAACAACTCCTGTGGATAAGGGAGAAGTGGTGGAAGTCGTATAACTAGACTTTAGTAACGTATGTGATATGGTCTCGCACAACCTTCGTATCAATAAACTAAGGAAATACAAACTAAATGAGACTACTGTAAGATCAGTTATCTAGCTAGTTATGCACCTTTCTTAGAGAGTAGTTGTTAATGGTTCACAGTCATGCTGGGAGGGCATAACAAGTGGGATTCCGGTTTTGGGACCGATTCTGCTCAATATCTTAATCAAAAATTTAGATAATGGCATACAGAGTACACATATAGAATAGGAAGTGATTGTCTAGGAAGTACTGCAGAAAGGGATCTAGGGGTCAACTGGATGACAAGTTGAACACGAGTCAACAGTGTGACACCATTGCAAAAAAAGCAGACATAATTCTGGGATGCATTAACTGGAGTGTTGTGAGCACGACACGAGAAGTCATTCTTCAGCTCTACACTGGACTAATTAGGTCTCAATTGGAGTGTTGCATCTATTTCTGGGCACCCCACTTCAAGAAAGATGTGGAGAAATTGGAGAAGGTCCAGGGAAGAGCAACAAAAATGATTAAAGGTCTAGAAAACATGTCCTATGAGGGAAGACTGAAAGAACTGGGCTTGTTTAGTTTAGAAAAGAGAAGACCTGATAGCAGTTTTCAAGTATGTAAAAGGGTTTTACAAGGAGGAGGAAGAAAAATCGTTCTCCTTGGCCTCTGAGGATAGGACAAGAAGCAATGTGCTTAAATGACAGCAAGGGAGGTTTAGGTTGGACATTAGGAAAAACACTGGAATAAATTGCCTACGGAGGATGTGCAATCACCATAATTTCAAGTATTTAAGAGCAGGTTGGATTAGACATCTATCAGGGATGATCTAGAGGGTGCTCAATCCTGTCGTGAGGGCAGGGCACTGGACTCTATGACCTCTCGAGGTCCTTTCCAATTCTATGATTCAGATCTTACTTATTTGAGAAAGTTAGCAGAAACTGCCAGTTTCATGACTATTTTATTTAGTCATTTAAAAAAACTGAAAGCCATGTAATGTAAGAAACATTATCATAGTCTGCAGATCAGATTATGAGACTGCAATAGGTTGTACCAACCCTGCACTGGACCTATAAGGGTTCAAGGTTACCTGGCCGAGGGGGCCCCAGCCCCACAGCCCTGCTGCCCATGCTGCAGCTAGAAAACAGATATAAAGGTGAAGCAGCTCAGTCTGGGCTGACAACTACTGGGGAACGAGGTGCTGCCAGAGCTCTGGAGGAAGAGCTGTGGACAGGCTGAACCATGGACGCCAGTCAGCAGGGAATGGCTGGAGATGCCCCCAGACGGGAGTAAAGTGACAAAGAAGGAGGCTGCGAAGAGTCTGGTAGGAAGTAGACCAGGATGGGGAGTTAGACTGCTGATAGCTCAGTGTGTTTCGGGTGGATTCCCCACTGAGCCAGTGGTGGGCCACCCCACCCGACAGGGCCCTGGGCTGGGACCCGAGTAAGAGAGTAGGCCTGAGTCCCCCTACCCCAGCTCAATTATGGCTGCTAAGCCATGCCATCCTGTGTGAAGAGACATTGATATTGACTTTTGGACTCTGGCTGCTGGACCTCACTGCCCTGAGAGTAGGGAAGGTTGCTCCTGATACTGGCCGCTGGGCCCCACTGCCCTGAGAGCATGGAGGGTTGCTCCTGACTCTAGCCTCTGGCCTCACTTCCCTTCAAGAAGAGGGTGTTTTACTAACTGTGGCTGCTAAGATGGACTGCCTCATTGGGGATGGGGTGTAGTCAGGGCCAGTCCAAGCCATTTTGGCACCCCAGGATGCACGGCCCCGCCTCTGGGCGCACAGCGCATGCATGGGCCCGCCCCCAGGACACACGGCCCCACCTCTGGGCGCACGGCGTGTGCGCGGGCCCACCCCCAGGGCACGTGGGGGTTAACATGCCCCCCACCCCGGGCGGCCGCTGCAGCCCACTGGGAGCCAGGCGCTCCCCGTAGGTTGGCACCCTGGGCAGCTGCCTGGCTAGCCTACCCCTTAGTCTGGCCCTGGGTGTAGTTATTGGACCCTGAGCCATAGGGACTGACACACACATGGGGTGGAGCACTCCTTGAGTGGCCTAATGCCCTGCCTCTGAGCAGGGGGGGCATACCTACCCCATGACAGAAACCTAATCTAGATTTATTTAGCTCACCTGTAAAATGAGTTTGTAATGTGTGAAAAGTTCCAAATTAAGTATTTCTTCTTTGAGAGAGGCAGGAAAAACTAGTACATCACTGCAGTGTTTGTCCAGACAATAAGTATAACCTTCAAAATCTGACACAGATTCAACTTTTGTAAATCCCTCTCTTTTCAACTCTCTGTAAATGTCTTCAGGGCTGTTAACATACAACGTACAGAATTCATAGTAATCCTGACCATCAGACATGCAACGTTAACTAAAAATTCATTAGAAAAAAAATCTAGATTTTTTTTTCATTAAAAGTGTCAAACACACAACTCAGAAGTAGGATTTTACACTTCACACCAAATTTACTGCTGGTATAGGTGAGGTTCAACTGACAACAATGGACTTGCATCTATTTACACCAGTGAATTTGTTGCTTAGTCTCGAATCACCCTATTATAGAATCACAGAATACTAGAACTGGAAGAGACTTCAAGAGGTCATCAAGACTAGTCTCCTGCCCTCATGGCAGGACCAAGCACCATATAGACCATCCCTTATAGGTGTCTGCCTAACCCAGGGTGGGCAATAATTTTGGATGGGGGACCACTCCAAAAATTTGGAAAGTGGTCAAGGGCCACACTCCTCCATAGTAATGGAGGAGGTGCAGGATCTGGAATGTAGGTTGGGTTTAGAAGGGAGCTTGCAATAAGGGATTGGGGTGCAGGAGAGAGTGTGGAGTCTGGGAAGGAGTTTGGGTGAAGGAGGTAGTTGTGACCTGGTTTGGGTACTAGGGTTCAGGGATTTGGGTTGTGATTTTGGGCAAGAGGGGGCTGTGACCTGGGGAAGAGGACTGGGGGAAGGGATATGGGGGCAGGAGGGTGCAGAGGGTCTGGGTTATGTGGGGTAGGCGGGGAGGGGTGCCAGAGGCAGGCTCTGGCTGGGTGACTTATCTGCTTGACTCCCAGCTAGCAGCCTTCTCAGGCAGGCTCCCTGCCTGCCTCACCTCCTCATTGGCTGCAGGGGCTATGTGGTTTTTCGAACAACTACGAGCCTGAGGGTGCTTCACAAGCTGCTTGTTAACAGGCAGTTCCCATTGGCCAAAAACCAGCCAATGGGATTGTGCTGAGAAGGGAACTGTGTGTTAAGCCTCTCCTCCCTCACCCAGGCTCCTAGCTGTTCAAAGAAAGCCTTGCAAGAGCTGCTTTTCTCAGCGGCGTGGAGGGAGGCAGGCAAGGAGTCTGCCTGAGGCTCCTTGCTGCATCTGCAGGACAGATCTGGCAGCTTGGTGGGCCAAATCCAACCCATGGAGAGTGTTTTGCCCAGGTCTGATCCAACCTGGTCTTAAAAATCTCCAATGATGGAGATTCTGCAACATCCCTAGGCAATTTATTCCAGTGCTGAATCACCCTGACAGTTAGGAATTTTTTCCTAATGCCAAACTTAAACCTCCCTTGCTTCAATTTAAGCTATTGCTTCTTGTCCTATCATCAGAGGTTAAGAATTTTTCTCCCTACTCCTTGTAACACCCTTTTAGGTACAGGTTGAACCTTCTAAATCTGGTACTCTCTGGTCCAGCAATATACGTAGTCCGGCAGGATCAAGGATGTTGCTGGACCAGAGAGCCCTGATGCCTGGGAGTGTGAGCTGGTTGGGAGTCAAGCGTTGGGGAGCCCCACTATTGGGACCAGCAGGTGGGAAACCCAGCCCCTGAAAGATCTAGTCAGGTGCAGCAGCAGCAGGGAGCCCCATTTCTGGAGTAACCCCAGCTGGGTGGGGCAGAAGCAAGGACTGTGGTGGCTAAGGAGCTGGTTGCAGCATGCTGGATCTGAAGCCCTGTAGCAGCAGGGCTGGAGCCAGAGGCAGTGGGGCTGGAGTGGAGCCAGCCGGAAGGAGGGACAGTGTCCTGGAAGGCCAGTGGCAGAGGACCTCACCTGGTCTGGCAAATTCCCTCATTCAGGACGGGTCAGGTCCCGAGGGTGCTGGACCAGGAAGAGCCAACCTTTATGTGAAAGCTGCTATCATGTCCCCTCTCAGTCTTCTCTTCTTATTGTTGAAAGGTAATGCATGAATGACCATTAGGCAATTAGTAATTCATAATAACCTTCCTGATAGTACCCTGAATAAATATCATGCACAAAAAAAATCCCATTTGTTTCAATCTATTATTTATGTGTGGTATAAAGTTAAATTGAACATCGTAAACAAAGATCTCAACATGGTAATCTTTAGTCAGTTCAACTAACATGTATTCAGCCTGAATACAGGTTGCATAATCAGGTTCTGAGTAAGAGACATTCTTTGTTAGGGATATTAGCATATAGTCATATAAACGATTAACCGATAAGCCTGGGCTTATCAAATAATCCAAACAACTATATACACTTCTCCCTCCCTTTGTGGTGTCTGTATCAGAGGCAGCAAGGGGCAAGTGGCAGTCGCCTACCCCCCCCATCCACACCCATGCTGCTGCCTCTAATAGAGAAGCAGCAGCATAGAGGGCTGGGGGGCAGGTGTGAGGCGGTACATGTGGGAAGCCAGCTTTTAAGGTGGCTTACCATGCATGTCAGCTCTATGGAGCTGCCCGTCCCCCTTCCCCGGCTGCCTCCCACAGTGACAGCAGCAGTGGTGGTAAGGGAGGCTGGCAGGACCTGGTACTTGGGGAGAACCAGCTTAAAAGCTGCTACCTACAAGCACCAGCTTTGTGGAGCCCCTTCCGCCAGTTCTGCTGCCTCTGTGCCTCTATCAGAGGCAGCAGCATCATGGGAGGGAGGAGCAGGAGTGATGCCGGGGCAGCACCTGTCTCCGGGATGCTTGGGACCCCCCCATGGACAGGGGCTGCTGCCATGGAGCAGCAGGATGGGATGCCGCATAGCCTCTATCCACAGGGAGATCAGGCCCCCTGTGGACACAGGCTGCTGCTGCCCTGCACTGCAGCCTCTGTATAATAGGAAGCAGTGCTGAGTGGCAGGCAGGAGCCACTCTGAATGGGATGTCAGTTTTTAAACCAGCTCCCCTAGCAGACCAGCTCCCGCCTGTCACCCCACACTGCTGCTAATAAAGAGGCAACAGCACATGGTGGCAGGAGGCTCCCCAGGAGTGGGGCCGGGAGTGTACTGGCTACAAGCCCCAACCCTGGAGACCATTGAATAATCACGTAACTGCTAAGCTTTGGTGCGGTTACATGACTATTAAATTAAATGCTATCTAACATCCCTATTTTCTGCCCTGAAACTAAGTCTAAAATAGAGAAGATGCAGAACACTTTAGTTAAGAGCTATTATGAAGAGATTACTGGTAAGGAAAAGAAGATGTGACAATGATGCCAAATTATCCATCCTGCCAGTTCTTTTAGTAGTGTAATATACAACTAGTATAATTTATGGACATATACATGAAGCATTTAAAAGGAACAGCATCAACTACAAAAAATTAAACAAACAATTAAAAGTAGTCTTAGATACTCTAAAATCAGAAAAATTGGCAGAGGGCTTTGGAAGGGATGTAAAATAACATTTTTGTTTTATTATTTTTATCCACTCTATTGCTATGATTAAAACTCACAAAAACAAATTGGGTAAATTAACTACAGATTAGAAACTGTAGGTGCAAAATGTACATCCGTACTGCAACTGTGAGCATGCTTCTGACATATGTAGACTCATGCTAGCTCTGCTCAAGATTCCCTAATTAAACTGGCAGCATGTTGGGATAGCCACCTGAGTAAAAACCCCATATGGAATGCCTGAGTACATATTCAGGCACCTATTTTGGCTACATCTTCATTTTTAGTGCAATAGCTCTAGCAGAGCTAGCATGTCTGACTACCCGCACTGGCATGCACCCTTCCAACACAGTGCAGCTATTCTCAAGGTGTTGTCAAATACACCAAGTAAATTGGAAAAAGTATAGAAAAGCTATTCCTTTTCTCTAGCACCTTGTCAGTTATAGTTTTCTTAAGTGCTACCTGTGTCACTACTAGGTTTAAAAAATGGCAGACAGAAGTGTGATGTTTAGGTCAATAGGTTCCTGTTAAACATTTATTACAAGAAACCTATGACTTGTAACAATACTATACTGTGAGGAAAAAACAAATTCATAGACTGGAATATATAATTTAATATGTATATTTCTAAAATAAACATATGAAATGTTAATTTTACAGATCTTACCTGCTTTTACATGTATTTATCCAAGCATACAAAGGTAAAGCAGAAGCCCTTTGTTCCTGTTTCCTTATAGTTTCTGGTAGAATGTATTCAATTGAAAGTGCATCATGTTTTATTCGACATCTTGCTAGAGCTGCAGCCAATTTGGTCTTAAAACTACAAGTACAAAATTATAGCTTTGTCCAGATTAGAAGGTTTTGCTCTTCATGATGACGTAACATTTATACCACAGTAATGCCCAGAGGCAACAATCATGAGTGTTCCCATTTTGCTATGCATTTTACAAAAATGTATTATGAAACAGTCAGTGCCCCAACGAGCTTGCATTCTAAGCCAACTTGCATTGCTGAGACTGTATTACTTAAAACACACAACTGGCTCAAACTGGGCTATGTCTCACCCCGACCCCTTGCATCTCAATTTCTATTTAAAAAAAGAAAGGAAGTTTGTTGTTGTTATGGGTAAGAAGAAAACCTTGAAAACTTTATGCACTTAGATTTCACTGTATTTGGTTCCATCTGAATTTCCAAGGAACCTGAAACAATAGTTTTTAAGAAGAGTTAATTTCCTCATTCATAAATGGTGTATTAACTCTAATGCCCAATTATGATAATTTAAACATCAGAATTGTTAGCTATTTCATTGCTAAATCAAAGCACATAAAAATAGGACTAACATTGTGAATGGTATCATTTTGGTCCAAGTGGATGGTACTTGGAAGTGTATCAACATTTCTCCCCATTATCTGATCTGTGATAGGAGGAATGAAGCCCAGCAGATCATCTGAATTCCACCAAAGGAAAAACAAAAACCCAAATTCCTACAGAACTATCACGTATCCAAACTCTACTCATGCGAGGGAGGAGGACAGTCCCAAAGTTTGAGGAACATATTTTATCATTACCATTTTAGCATAAAACATGACTCACTGATTAAGTTTATCTTGGCTTATGGGATACATCTACATTGCAGTGAAAAACACTCATAGCTGCCCAGTGTCAGCTGAGAAACTCTTAGGTACAGACTATGGGACTGTTTAACTGCAGTGTAAACATTCAGGCTCTGGGACTTTCCCTCTTCATGGGGTTAGTCCAGACCAAGCCTGAACATCTACACCATGATTAAACATGGTAGTCCAAGCACTATGAACCTGAGTCAACTGCCACAAATGTTTTTAATTGCAATATAGATGTACCTTTAAGGACCTTGGATCCCATACACTATCCAGATGCTGACCTACACTTTCACCATGGCAATTAAGAGAGCCTTCATTGCTCATCTGTTAAATCTTCAACCTACCCAGTGTCACTCCTCATGGCTAGGAAATGCTTCCTATAATTACTGTTCTTTTTCAAATCTCTTTAAAACTGTGCAATACCACAATGCCTACAAAAATCAACAATATTTATGAATCTGGTTTGTTGCAAGCACTGCTTTTCATGATGTCCAGTTTTGTCTCAATGTTACCATACTTTCCCACTATTGGTTACATCTTGTGTAATATTTAGTAAGCTCTTTTGGCCAGGGACAGAGTTTGTTGTATTTCAAGTTTGTGGTGAGACAGGAAATTGGTCTCCCAAGTACCAGGCTAGCATTGTAAATAGTAGTAACCATCCAGAGGTACCGTATTTTAGCGAATATAACCCGTGGGTTATATTTGTTTTTACACCCTCCCACCCCCACAGGTTATACTCGCGCATGGGGTATACAAGAGTTTTTTAACTCAAAAAGCAAAAACCGTGGGGTATATTCGGGTGCGGAGTATATTTGGGTGTGGGGTATATTTGCTAAAAGACGGTAATAGTCTTAAGGAAGAAAAATAATACTTTAAACATTCTACTTCTACATAATGCCACAGTTTCAGTCAATTGTAACCTACTACCTATTGTAAAGGCCAAGATTAGATATGATCAGCAGGCTTTTTTAATGTAGCTATTGTTTTGAAGGAAAGTAATCTATCTCTATATTTTAGAAATGAGCATGTTTGTCTCTTGTCCATGAACCTTTTGTTAAAGAACTCCTCCTAACTGGTAAGAGCAAAGACCACCAAATGTGGTATGCAGCTTCCTCTTCTCCTAACTTAAAGCAACGTCAGAGTTTGGTTGTGCCAGAAAATCAAGATCTGCCTAGAATGAGATTGTTTGCCATAACACAGAAAAAGAGGGAGGATAATCGGAGAGACGCTATACTACAGATTGATCGCTGGGGGCAGCTATACTACAGAATGACAAGGGGGGGCAGACATACCCCCACAAGAGTGGCAAGCCGGGGCTGAGGCTTGCCATCTTCCAGACTAAGTGGCTCCCTCTGCTCCAAACCCCCTTCCCTACTCCAGCTCTTGGCCGCAGCCCCAGATGGAGGAAAGGGGAGGAGCTGCACCAGCCATCAGCCCCCACCCCCAGAGGAGTCACAGACTGCTCTCTCTCTTTCACTCACTCACACACACACACACACACCCCTGGCTGCCCAGTGCAGCCAGGGCTGGCCTATAAGGTCACCGCTGCCCTTGGCCACCCCCAGGGAGAAGACAGCAGCCACTCCTACTTCATTCTTAGTCCCTGGCCCCTCTCATTAGCTCCCCCTCCTCCCAACCTTCTGCCCTGATTCCTGCATCCTCACCACCTGCCTTAAGCCCCTCCTCATTTCCCAACCCTTACTCTTGCAGCTCCCCTACATTCCCTGTCCTGAGCCCCTCCTCAACCTCCTGCACACACACCCCACTACAGCCCCCTGCCCTGAAGAACCTGGGCAATCTTCTCGTAGTGTTTATATCTGTTCTCAATTTTGAGTATATTTAAGTTTTTCTAATCTTTAGTGTTCTTTTAGGGTCCTTGCAATATTTGTGGAGTCCAGCATGGATACAAAGGTCTACCCATTGTGACAAAGCTCCTATGAAAACTTGGTGAGTCTTCCTGGGAGATTTTGCTTGCCTCAGAGGCTCATAGCAGCCCACAGTGTTAGGCATGACACCTAGGGCTTTGGTTTGCTGTTTGTAGAACTCTTTTCATCATTAGCCAGCATATAGTAAAACGGAGAATAAGAACATACATAAGAATGGCCGTACTGGGTCAGACCAAAGGTCTTTCTAGCCCAGTATCCTGTCTACCGACAGTGGCCAGCACCAGGTGCCCCAGAGAGGATGGACCGAAGACAATGATCAAGCAATTTGTCTCCTGCCATCTCTCTCCAGCCTCTGAAAAACAGAGGCCAAGGACACCATTTTATCCCCTGGCTAATAGCCTTTTATGGACCTAACCTCCATGAAATTATCTAGCTTCTCTTTAAACTCTATTATAGTCCTAGCCTTCACAGCCTCCTCTGGCAAGGAGTTCCACAGGTTGACTACACGCTGTGTGAAGAACTTTATTTTATTCGTTTTAAACCTGCTACCCATCAATTTCATTTGGTGTCCTCTAGTCCTTCTATTATGGGAACTAATAAATAACTTTTCTTTATCGGCCCTCTCCACACCACTCATGATTTTATATACCTCTATCATATCCCCCCTCAGTCTCCTCTTTTCTAAACTGAAAAGTCCCAGTCGTTTTAACCTCTCCTCATATGGGACCAGTTCCAAACCCCTAATCATTTTAGTTGCCCTTTTAGACCCTTTCCAAGGCCAAAATATCTTTTTTGAGTTGAGGAGACCACATCTGTACACAGTATTCAAGATGTGGGCGTACCATAGTTTTATAAACTCCACAATCCTTTTCCCTGAGTGGAAATGGGGAGATGGGTGTTGAGGGGGAATCTGGGCCCACCCTCTACTCTGGGTTCCAGCCAAGGGCCCTGTAATAGTAGCTGCCTGTGTGAATCCCAGACACCTGCTATAAGACAGCTCCAAGACCCATGGGCTAATTCCCTGCACCTTCCTTCTCTCCAGTTTGTCATTCTATCATTCAGTTGTCTCCTTTCCTCCTACTCCCAGCAGTGCCCTCCTCCATCCTCTCAGCTACATGTGTGCCGCAACTGTAGACAAAGCTTCTTTTAGAGCCAGTCTGAACTGGTTTTCTTAATTACCCCTAGGTGTCCTAATTAGCCTAGGCTGGCCTGACTCTGCAGGCCTGGTCAATTAGCCCCAGTTGTTCCACTTCCCCTTGATTGCCTCTGCTGGTTCTAAACCAGCCCCTCCCTGATACTCTGAAACAGAGATCTCCTCAGTCTAAGGCTTATATATCTCTCCTCCACTACTTTTTTTTTATAGCCTTCTGTTCTGACCCACAGCAGAGCAGATATCTATGGACAGCAATCAGTATCTGCTGATCTGTAGAACTCTACTCCCAAGAGACATTGCAGCCAAAGGAGAGAAGCATGGTTCCACCACTCCCATGCCCATAACTTCTCTGGGCCACGTGGATGTACCTCTCACAGTGCCACCACAAACAGGGCTATCCAACCCCCATCAAGAGAAGCAGCTGGGGCTGGGGCCAATACACCTGCACGGCCTGGAGGAGCTGCTGGCATGGGAGGCTAGCTCCTGGGAGTAGTGGCACCGCACTCCCTCCTTTGGCTGCTCTTCTGAGACTGTGGATCCGCAGATACCAACTGCTATCCACAGAATCCGAATCTGTGGTTAGACATTTGTCTCTGCACCGACGAGCACTAAATATTTGCAGCTTTACTCTCTTTCCCATCCTCCAGCGGCCCAAGATTTGAATGTGAATAGTGTAATTCTTTCAATCTTTATAATCAAATCACTACTTTCAACTGATATTCTTTCACCAAAAATAATGTTGAATATTTAATTTACGGTTTTCAACATGGGGATCCATGACTATCCTATCCTATCGCTAATGGAAATGGAATCCTAACTTGGTGGAGGAGCTTCAAATATGGAAAGGGTGACATCCACTTGACTGCTAAATCGCTCCCAACTGAACTTTTAAACTAAAAGAAGGGATAAAAAAAGTTAATAACCTTTCTTAACTGCTGTTCTTTGAGGTGTGTTACGCATGTCCATTCCATGCTCAGTGTGTGCATACCACATGCACAGTTGCCAGAGATTTTTCTCGGTAGTATCCATAGGACTGGCTCTAGCAGCCCAAAGAGCCACATGAGTACACACCAATATCAAAGACATCACCAGCCAACACCATCTTAGCTCCTTCTCATTGAGAATTCTGACAGAAGGGTGGAAGGATAGACATGAAATGGAC